GTTTACACCGCTGGACTAAATCAATTTAGTACGAATATAGTACCTCATACGCGTATCAAACGATCGGTGTAAACAAGGCCAATTTAGTATGCGTATCAAGTAATTTTGTGTCGGTGTAAACTGTAGCGCATTAAATAATAATTATCGAAGGAACGTTACGGTTAGGTGAGATGAGGTTTTCTTCGAAAATCTTGACTTATTTTTAAAAGTCCGACTAAGCTTGTAAATAAACAACTGATAATATTTTCCGAATCCATCGCAATCTGAGGATCACCGATTTTCCAACCAAATTAAATATAATACGTTTCTGTATCAAACCTAATGTACTTTTTTGCACACTTAATACACATGGTGTAAACGCAGTCGAATTTAACATTTGGTACGCATCATTTTGGTTCACGTATCAAATAATTTTACGGTGTAAACAAAGCCTATGTGGATGAGGCTTTTTTGGCCCGTAGTCATCATACTCATAGAAAATTCACCATCAAGAAACTAGTGGAAAAGCATTCGCGAATTGTGGCGACCCTGTTACGGCGCAAGGGTGGGGGAAAGGCATGCCGTCTATGAAAACGGTATTAAAACGAAATAAAACCGACCGTGAGTTCTACAAGGGGATCCTCCGACCGTGCGATATTTTTGGTATACAATATCGCCAATACCGGATTTAAATTCGTCGAAATCGAGCGGAACGTGTACACTGTCTATGGCACTATGATCGATACCGTTCGCCCACCCCGCGGCAGCCCGTGGACGTAAAATTCGATGATCTCGATGCGCGTGGTGTCTCGCTGACGGAGTGACACGACGGACCGATAACTTCCCCCCGAGGAGTAAACGAGTTTTCTAGCGATTCGTGGAGGAAGGTAAGGGACGACGGTCGCGCCAGAGTCCCGCGGTAGCATTTCGCGATCTCGCGGAAGCGCCGAGACAAGCTCGGAAAAAGCTCACGGCTAATGTTACGGCGTGACTCACGCGACTCGCACGAACGCGAGGGCCGTTCCCGTTCGCGTGTTAGATCTGTTAGACGAACGCCCCGCGTCTCTCGCGATCTCGATTGAGCCGCGAGTGACCCGCGCGCGCTGACATCTCGGCACCGCCGTCACGCCGGAACCTCGTCCAGGTAGAGCTGCGAGGTTGATTACGTGATACGTGAAATCAATTGGCGACTCTAACCTCATCGCATAATCGCGATCCACTCGCTCGATCGCGCGCTCTCTGTCTCTTTCTCTCTCTCTCTCTCTCTCCTCCCTCTTTTTTTCTCTGTCTCGGGCACAGAAAGAGGGAGAGAGAATGAGAAAGAGAGAGAGAGACGTCAGTTTAACGACGAAAAAAAAATCCAGTTCTCGCGACCGTCCTCGACTTCGATCTTTCGCCTCGACATTTCCATCCTACCCGCTCGATAACGAGCGTTCTCGCCGCTCGCGGTAAGAGCGTTAAATTCGCTCCCTCCCCCCTCCAGCCCTGCGCTCCCCCGCGTTTTAACAATGTCGATCTCTTCCGACGCATTTTTCATCGTTTCCTGGGGAAAGAGCCGACGTTCCTTGTCGCGCGCGCACGCTCGTCGGTAACGCGGACTCGCTGGAAGTGGCGCGCATATTCGCGAGATACGTCGCATGTGCTCTCTCGCCCGCGCGCACATCGTCGCATTTGCGCCACGATGAGATTACATATTGTTCTCTATGTCATCTCGGTTCCCTCTCGACACATCCCCCGGCTCCCTCGCATGAGTCTGCCCCGAACGTTTCTTCGCTCGTCTTAAGCGTCGTCTACAATAGGTGGAGTAAGCTTGGCGTAAGAAGTAAGAGTAGGAGTAAAGAAATGGATCATTTCCATTTCCTACTCCTACTTCAGCTCTGACGCTTACTCGCGGCGAATTAAAGCGTAGTTCGACCAGTGCTACAAATATTTAAAAAAATTATGTCTATTCTTTAGCTTTTACACTGAAAGGTAAAGGTTAGGTTTTCTTACTTCTTCTTACTCCACGCTTACGCCGGTTATTGTAGACGACGCTTAATACTTTTTGTCATGTTGAGGTAATTCAGGAAGAGTTCGCTCTGAAGTCGCTGTCTCTCTGCGACAACTGTCAGGAAACTCAAACGCGGACTCTAAGTCGACTGTCTTATCATGTTGACAAGAGAGCTCCATAAATAGATTCAATTCATACAAATTCCCTCCAGATTAAATGCTCGTACATGTAGATTCACTTGACAAGTAGGCTGCTCAAAAGACATGCGTACATATTCGAATCTTCGAAAGGGGGTCGATTCTGTGTGTTACAATATAGCGAAAATGTTCAAAGTGAGCGGCTTTGTCTCTCTCTCTTTTTTTAAGGGGGCGGTTAGAAAGTGACAAAGCTAGTCGCTCTTTGCATTTTCGCTGTAGTGTAAGATACAGAGTTGACCCCTAGATGTGAATACAACTTGCTGTCAGAGTGGGAAACATCATGTGAAACGTTTCGTCTAAAATTTAGGAAATACTTCAAACCAAGTGGTGATTTATATACAGATTGGCCCTGAACTTCCCAGTCAGATCTCGAGATTCTGTGGAAAATTTAATTCGGGACAAAGAACCCCGCACTAATCATATAGGAAATTGGATCTCTGTTAAATTGGCTAGTTTTCACATATGTTGTAGCTTATGATCTGCTGAACAAAAAATATAATGGGCTCAAACTTGAATAATGGCTAGTTTCTGGACTACAGCCAGTCAAACATGGAAAATTTGTGCTCCGCAGGTCTTGTTTGGAAATACTTTGAAGCATATTGGGAAAGAATGTTTCAGACAACGAAACAAATCAATGTTTGAATTAATAAGTACGATTGTTTGAATTTGAAATAATATATATCTTGATCAGAAATAAAATATTTGTTTGAAACAAAAGGAATATTCTCTTTGATCTAAACGATATTATCGTTTCATTCAAACATTATCGTTTGATAGAAAATATATGAAAAAAATGTACATGCATACATCTTTCTCCCTCTACATTAGAATTTTTCCTTCATTAGAAGAAGAAAGATAATCACTCAGTGATTGAGTTAGTACACTAGTTAGTACACTATGGCCGGTATTCATAGTCCGTTCTTATATTTAAGATCATCTTAAGTATACTCTTAATGTGTTTTCAATCAATCACAGAGCCGTATTAGCGTCTTAAGACAACACTTAAGATGATATTGAAATAAGAATCGACTATGAATACCGACCTATGTTCAGTTATAATAAAGAATAGACCATTAAATGATTAAAAAAAGCAGACTACGTCTTCTAATGCGGTGGCTTATATGCTGCTGCGATTTTACTTACGAGTTCGGCGGCCATCTAGTGGCTAAATATTATAATTATTTAGACAAAACAAAAGGCCAATATTATTACGAGCAATCAAAGGTGACAGTCAAATTGTTTTAAAAATTAAGTGTATATTTTAGGCGAACGTTTCGGCATCACAGTGCCTTCATCAGCGCACGACCATCGCAATACCATTATTAATTTATAATTATTTAATTGAAAGATATTACTTCAAATAATAGTATTTTTTCTATCAAATAATACAGGTTGTTTGAATAAAAGGACAAAATTTTTATTGAAAATATATAATGTTTCGTATAAGCATATGTTGTTTTAATGAAACAAATTTCAATCAAATAAATAGGAATGCTAAATCCAAAGAAACCTTTCTCTCTGTATGGCGAAATTAAAATTTTCACTTATTTTTATTACATTTCACAGGTCTTCAGATAACGAGTTTCAAATGCGCCGAAAGTTGTTTGGATAGAGACAGTAAGTCCCAGTCTACAATAGAAGATTTAAGCCCTAAGCTTTAAGAAATTGGCCAATCACGGTCAAGTATGAGTAGAATGCGCGACTGTGATTAGTCAATTTCTTAAGGCTTAGGGCTTAAATCTCTATTGTAGACTGGGACTAAGGGCGACGTCCCATGGAGCGGAATACGCGAAAGCGGAATCAGCGGATCGCCAGTCACAAGATTATTCTGATAGAGCCCTTTCAAAAATTCTGTCGAAACGGTCGTGTGATTAGCGATCCACTTCCGCTTTCGCGTATTCCGCTCCGTGGAACGTCGCTTTAAAGCGTTTGAGAAAGTGCTCTTTATTTATGTTGTTATTATGTTATTAGATTGCAAGCAATCGTCTGTAGCGGGCTTTAGCTAATTTTTAATGTTTATTTGTTCCATTAAAAAGTTTACTTTTCTGTATTGTTTAAATTAATTTTGAACAAATCCTAAATCTAGGAGAACGAACAGAGAAGCGGGAGGTGAAAAATGTAATAAATTTCTGAATCATTAAAAGAAATAAAAATCTCATTTCGTGAAAATAAAAGTCCTTCTCTGTATAAACTGAAATGTTATACGTAATAAACTCTCGGAAACTTTGCCGTTGGTATTCAAAAAATAATTTTTTTTGTTAAGGGGTTACATCTATCAGACGTCTCTTAAAATAGACCTTTTTTTCGGGAATTTTTTTCCCATGAAGCAATGAAACAATCAAAATGCAGTATAAAGGGTTCATTATACATATAATAAGGT